CCCTGCCGCTCCTGGTAAGTTCACCCCCTCCATCCCCCACCAGCAGGTCCAAGGGACCTAGCACTCTACATTAGACAAACCTTGAAAGAAGCAAGAGGCAGAATCGGGGGCACTGCTTACCCCCCCCCAGTTGATAAAAGGCCCCCTCAAAAACTCTGAACTGCCAAGTGCAGCACACACTGCAAGGCTTGCTTCCTAAGGATGCCAGGCCTCCCATCATAGAGGGAGGCCCTTTGATGCCCACTGTGGCCCTGGGCACCAGCAGAAGGAACTGGAAGGGAGAGGTGTGATGTCCGGTGCACTTCTAAGTTAAACCAGAAGGGACACAGGATGCTCTAGCATTCCACAAAGAAATCTATGGCAGGGGTGGCCAAACCGCGGCTCGAGAACCACACGCGGCTCTTTCTCACATATTGTGCGGCTCTTCTATTTTGTGATTTTTATTTTTTATTTTAAAAAAATTCTATACTATTATGTAAATATTGTTGTCAAATATTATCAAACATAGGTTTCAACAAAACCGATATTTCAAAGTGCAGGTTTAGGGTATGTTCAAACATCCAAACAGCACTTTGTCAGTTTCACAATCACTAGTCCCACAGGACTCTAGTAATTTACCCCTATCGAATACAATCTTTTTCAAGGACAGTGATGTACATACAGGATATAAGGTGCAATAAAACACTTAGCAGCATGTTTTCTAGGGTCCCATCAGAACCCTTGCAGCAAACATAATAACTTATCTAGGAGAACATCTCTCTCAAGTTCTATCAGGCAGCCACTGAAGTCCCTCCCCTCCCCAAACCTCGGCCTCCTTGGGCTCCACTCCCAAAATCTCCAGGTATTTCCCAATCCAGAGCTAGCAATCCTACCCATTAGACTAGGGATGCCAGACTACCTGGTGGGAGTGGGGATCCCCCACTTTTAGGCCCCACCTTTCTGCCGCTGGCTAGCTGGCTGGCAGGGGTGAATTAAAGGTAAAGGTTAAGGTTTCCCTTGCTTGAAAGCCAGTCAAATCCGACTCTACGGGGCGGTGCTCATCTCCGTTTCCAAGCCGAAGAGCCAGCGCTGTCCGAAGACTTCTCCGTGGTCATGTGGCCAGCATGACTAAATGCCAAGGCGCACAGAACGCTGTTACCTTCCCACTGAAGCGGTACCTATTTATCTACTTGCAATTTCTTGCTTTTGAACTGCTAGGTTGGCAGGAGCGGGGGCCAGAGACGGCACTCGGCACTAGGGTATCGAACTGCAGAGCTACAGACCTTCTGGTCTGCAATTCAGCACTTTAACTGCTGAGCCACTGCGATAAATTGCCACACACACCCCCAACGGGGAAGACCACAGAAATGAAACACAATATGCCTACGTGACCCAGAAGTCACTTACGTAGGTTGGGGGTGATGCTCTGGTTTTTGGGCAAAACTCTGTGATAGAAGCTCATCTGCCCAAAAACCAGAGCATCACCCCCCCCCATGTCCCTGACATGCCTACATCACTCCTGGGTCACATAGACACATGTTTATTTTCACAATCCCTGCCGCTCCTGGTAAGTTCAACCCCTCCATCCCCCACCAGCAGGTCCAAGGGACCTAGCACTCTACATTAGACAAACCTTGAAAGAAGCAAGAGGCAGAATCGGGGGCACTGCTTCCCCCCCCCAGTTGATAAAAGGCCCCTCAAAAACTCTGAACTGCCAAGTGCAGCACACACTGCAAGGCTTGCCTCCTAAGGATGCCAGGCCTCCCATCATAGAGGGAGGCCTCACTGACAATTCCCTTTGATGCCCACTGGTGCCCTAACGGAAAAACCCATTTCCCCCCCGGATTTTTCCGGTTTTTTCCGGGCTTTCACATCTCTAGTTTGGTGTAATGGTTAGGAGTGCGGACTCTAATCTGGGAGAACCAGGCTGGATTCCCCACTCCTCCACATGCAGCTGCTGGGGTGACCTTGGGTCAGTCACAACAACAACAAATTTATCCACAGCAAAAGCCAGCACTCTAATACAGTAGTCAAGCTAAACTATGCCCTGAAGAACTTTGTGGAGAACCTGGGTGAGGCCTGCCGTCAATCTAGCCAGCCCCTTCCAGTTAGGTGTAGTGGTTAGGTGCGCGGACTGTAATCTGGGAGAACCGGGTTTGATTCCCCACTCCTCCACTTGCACCTGCTGGATGACCTTGGGCAAGCCGTAGCTCTGATACGAGCTGTTCTTGAAAAAAGAGCAGTTTCTGTCAAAAGCTCTCTCAGCCCCACCTACCTCACAGGGTGTCTGTTGTGGGGAGGGGAAGGGACAGGAGTTTGTAAGCCGCTCTGAGACACCTTTGGGTAGTGAAGGGCGGGGTATAAATCCAATCCTTCTTCTTCTATGTCACTCTTACATTAAGCAAGTTTGGCCAGCCCTGCTCTATGGCAAAACCATAGAGTTTTTGCAAAATGATACGTCTCCCTCCCTCCCCCCCCGGTGTCACTTTCGGTTTAAACCACCCGCCCCCTCAACTGCTTCCATGGGGTGCCGGCTGCGCCCTGGCAACCCTACGCCTCTAGAAGGGCAGACTGGGCAAGGGGGTTGTTATGAGGCCTCTTGGGAACTGCAGCCGAGACCGAAAACTTTTCACACACTCACTTCTCTGCAAAAGAAAGAATCCGCATGGTGTACTTACTGTGCAAGTAGTCTGCCAGATCACCCCCGTTGCAGTACTAGGAGGAGGGAGGGAGAGAGAAAAGCAAATTGGATCAGTTTTGTTTTACGTGAACAGCCAGATCATGCAAAGTGTTGTTTATGTGCTTAAATGCCATTTTTTTCAAAATCATCAACATGGCTCCAGGCCTAAGATAAACCTTGGGCTATTTCCTGTCTAAATTGTCAATCAGAGCAAACAATTGTTGCGAAAGGTACAGAAATCCTGATTCACTGGGAAGTAGATTTTTTTTTTAAAAAAAATGCTAATTATTTTAATATAAAACCCGAACTGCAAACATTATCAGAAGAGGCACTCCCCTCTCAGAATGCCTCTCCCAAGAGCCTGCATGCTGCCTTATATATGTGAGCCAACTACCAAATACACACAAAGTATTTTGGCATTATTATTTTGATGCTATACAAATGTACAACAACTTGGCACGCAGAACATAAGAAGAGCCCTGATGGATCAGACCAGTGCTCCATCAACCGGCTCCTCTGGACCGCCAACAACACGGCATAGAGTCCGAAGTCTTCCCCTGAGGTTGCCTCCTGGCTCTGGGATTCAGAGGATTAGTGCCTCTGAATGTAGAGGTTCCCCTCAATCTCCATGGCTAGTAGCCAGCCACTGATAGGTTCATGGAGGATAAGTCTATCTAATCTCCTTTGAAAGCTGTTCATTCCTGTGGCCATCACTACATCCTCTGGCAGCCAATGCTGCAGTTTAATCACGCCCTGTGTAAAGAATTGATTAGTAATTTCATTAATTGGCTAAAACTCATACAATTAAGATTCCCAGCTTCCAAAATCACAGAGGCCATATTCCAGTTCTACAAGACAACGGACCAAGCTGGCCACTGTATATTCTGTTCAAGCTCTTCTGCACAACAGACAGAAATTCTGCAACAGAACAGATGAACCTGGCTTAATATACAAATTCCTGGCCCATCTGGTTAGTACTGGCCAATCTGGCTGGCAGTGGCTGTTCAGGGTCACGGGCAGAGAAACTTCTGTGCCCACATCTGCCACCTGAAATCCTTTAAGCGGAAAGGCCAAAGACTGGCCAAGGGCCTTCTGCGTGCAAAGCCAGTGTTCTACCACCTGGGCTTCAGCCCCTCTCTGTTTTTCCTGGCACAGAGACCCATCAGCGTGAAAAAAACGGTTCCTGCTACTTAAATTCGGCTCGCTGCAGGGCAGCTGCTCGCAGTCACAAGAAGCCTGCCAGGAAAAACAGGTGCCAAAATCTTCTCTTAAAGTCAAACAGGCTCAGAGCAAAAAATTAAAGATTTGGATACAGCAAGGCTTGAATCCCTCAGCATAAAGCCAGAGTAACCGTCCAGTTTTGTTTTGCTTGGCAAGGTGGCCAACCTCCAGGTGGGGCCTGGAGATCTGGAATTACAACCAGTGTCTAGGCAGCAGAGACCAACTTGCCTGGAGGAAATGGCAGCTTCGGAGGGTAGGCGCTATGGCATTATACCCCACTGAGGTCCCTCTAGGCTTGCCAGCCTCCAGGTGGGGCCTGGAGATCTCCCGCTTTTACAGCTGATCTGCAGCTGACAGAGATCAGCTCCCCTGAAGAAAACGGCTGCTTTGAAGGGTGGACTCTATGGCCTTGGACCATGCTGAGGCCCCTCCCCTCCCCAAACCCCGCCCTCTCCTGGATCCACCCCCAAAGTCTCTAGATCTTTTCCAACCCAGACCTGGCAACCCTAGGTCCCTCTCATCCCAAAACTCCACCCCACCCCCAAACACTGCCCCCAAATCTCAGGGGAATCTCCCAGGCTGGTATTGGCAAGCCACCATGCGACTCAGCGCTTGCTAATCAGTTTGATAGTTTCCCAAGTAGTGTGGTTAGAAGAGAATGGACCCCGTGAAAGGGCTTACTTAGAATATCAGAAGCACTCACCTCCATAACCAAATAAACGGAGTTGGCCATTTCCTGAAAAGGGAGGGGGGGAAGAAAAGCCATTATTATGCAGTGAGTAACAAAACCTGAAGGCATAAATTGAAGGGGGGGAGAGAACCATCGTGATTCCCATTTTTATGTTAAACCTTCACCCACCCTGGCTCATAATCCTGCTTTTCAGGGGGGGAAGGTGGTTGTGGGGGGGACGACACAACTTTTCCTTTGCATGCCACACACGGATAATTGGGGAGGATTACATTTGTTAAGAGCGGAAGAGGAGAGCACCAATGGCGCCAAAGATTTAATGTGGAGTTTAGCAAACCGTTCCATTCTGCTGCACAGTTTTTCACTTCACAGAGACGAGTAGGTGTGCCCTTCCCATCCTTTCAGGCGTTGGCTTATTGCTAGCCCTCCCATCATGAAGCTACCAGAACGCACACACACCATTTCTGCAGTAGATTCTTCCTCACCAGGCACAAACCTGAAGTTTTCTCCTTCTTACCCCTGTGTTTTCGGAATCCCCAGTTTTAGCAAGTTCCAAAAATGCAGGGAAAGAAGGAGAAAACTTCGGGTTTGTTCCTGGTGAGGAAAAATCTACTCCGGAAAATTTTACATAATGTGCAGTTTTAAAACACGTCAATGCGAGGAATTTCACTCCTGTAGAAACAGTCACAGGTAAATTAATGAAGCCCTCCAAGATTCCAGAATTGCTGCTCTCACTAAAGTGACATGTGCATCAGAGAAGGGAAACGACAAATGAGTTGACTAATGAAATAATAGCGGTAATACCCCCCCCCCATAAGTCTAGAAAAATGGGAATCAAAACCTGGCAGTTCTGTTTCTATAAATATAAATCTATAGGGGTCAAATTAGGGTTGCCAAGTTCCACGTGGGTAAAGTAACGAATATACACTGCAAGAAACTTTTGTAAATTCATGTGTTCTGTTTATAACTATCATTCTATAAAGTGCATTGTGTATTCTTATAACATCCTAATTAGGTATATGTATTCAGTACATTCAGTATAACAATAACAGTTCATACAATATAACAACTACCAGTCAATTTTGCATCAGTATTTTAAAAGCCCGCTTCTCCTTGCATGAAGTCTTTCAAAAGGGGGGAAGCTTTCATTTATGTTGATGCCTATTGCCGGTCCTACAAAAGACACATTGTGCAGCTAAAATTCATGGATGGAGCACTGCTGTCATTCTCAAGGCTGCGGGTGAGGCCTGGAGATCTCCCAGAATTACAACCAGCCTCCAGACAACAGAGATCAGCTAAAATTCATGGACGGAGCACTACACAACTATAAATGAAAGCTTTCCCCCTTCTGGAAGACTTCATGCAAGTAGAAGCGGGCTTGTAATTCTGGAAACTCCCGTTGGGGTTTGACTTTTAAAATATTGATGCAAAATTGACTGGTAGTTGTTATATTGTATGAACTGAGTGTTATTGTTATACTGAATGTACTGAAAATATATACCTGATTAGGATGTTATAAGAATACACAATGCACTTTATAGAATGATAGTTACAAACAGAACACATTAATTTACAAAAGTTTCTAGCAGTGTATATTTATTCATTACTTGAAGCACCTGGAGCCTGGCGGAGCCTGGCATCCCTACCCCCAAAAGAAAATTCTCAGCATCCTGACCGAACTACAAGTCCCACGATCCTTTGTAGGGGGAACCGATGGCAATTAAATGAACAGTAAAGGCATACAATTTTGTCCTGTAAGTACAACTGAGTTTTAACGCTTGTGATTTCTCAGAATACGAGCACAGCATTTTGCATTGCAGGCTTTTACCCAGCTATAAAGCCTGCAAAGTCGGGCAACGCAAGATGCCAAAATAAGACTTTACTCCAGCGACAGTGAATTCATCCACTGGATGCACGAAACCAACAGCTTGCCCGCACATGCTCCAACGGTGCTCCTTCCCCCCCCAGTTCAGCGTTCAACCAGATTCCCAGCCAGAGGGTTTGCAGCTCTTAGAGCTGTAGCCGGCCCAAGAGGAATATGGGGGAAAGTCACTTTGGTTAAGCCAACGTGCAATTTTCCTGCAATATTTCAAGAGGGCTTTTGTAGGAAGGAAAACAGTCTTTTTGGCAACAGGAGTCTGTGACTCTCGTGACAAATTTAAAAAACACCATGCTAAGCCAACTCTTTGAACAGCATCACAAAACACAAAATAAAGGGGGGGGCGCTCAGAGAACATCCTCAATTTGCTTTAAAAAAACCAGGTAAAAGGGTGGGGGGAGGAAGGAAGGTGGCAGGTGGGGGAGAACAACAGTCCAGGGGTGTCAGGCAACTGGGTCCCCCAACATCTATAGCTAGAAGAAAATTAATAAACATACTATTTACGGCTGAAAAAATTGTTAGAGCCAAAAAATTGAAAGAAAAAAATCCCCCCACAATAGAGCAATGGATCCATAAAGTATGCGATTTATTTATGTTAGAGAATTTTTCAATTTATAATAATCAAACCAAACAGAATGTGAGATATATAGTCCTTTGAATATATTGTATCCTATCTTGGAAAAAAATATCGGTAAACAAATTTGATTGGGAAGCAATAAAAGAACCCAAATACCAGATCATGTTGTATAGTTTAGTTATACAATAGTTATGTTCAAAGTCAAGAGTTATAATGGCTTATTACAAAGATAATTTAGGGCATAATTTTATCCAGAATAGATGGTTTTTGCACCCCAATCATTTATAACCTGATTGTGGCTATTCTGTCTATAATATCAAGTTGTTGATTGCATTTCTTTTTATATTCTATCTGACTTCGGTATGTACTGTTGTATATGAAAAATTTAATAAAATTTATGTTTAAAAAAACTGCCCCCCCCCGGATCCCACGAGAGGCCCTTTTCATGTCTGCTCATGAGTAAGGGCCTCCTCAGTGGCATAGCAAGGGAAACAGAAAATGGGCTTGAGTACACCAGTTCCCCTGACCTGGATGGCTCAGGCCAGCTTGGTTTTATCAGATCTCGGAAGCTAAGCAGGGTCAGCCCTAGTTGGTTAGTACCTGGATGGGAAACCATCAAGAAGGTGTAGGGTGGCTATGCAGAGGCAGGCAAGGGCAAACCATCCCTGTTCATCTCTTCTCTCCTACACTGTTTGAAAAGCTCCCCCCCCCCCAATCCAAGGCAGAAGATTCAGCAACAGACTTAAAGCAAGGTATAAAGGGAGGGGGCCCGCAAAATCCGTGGGGGCCGGGACCCCAGGCCCCCACGCAGGCTACGGGCCTGCTTTAAAACAACCACTGGACACAACCACAGTGGCACACGTATTGATACAGGCTGTCACCTGCAAAGAGGAGGTCCCAACACAACTATGCCTCCATAAATGACCTTTGGGAAGTCCAACACATGCCCTGCTTCTACAGACCAGAAACGGGCAACACAGGAAACCAATCGACTACAGGGCAAACACAGAGCACTGTTTTGGCATCCAGAGGAGATAGCCATCAGCCAACTTGAGCCGGTACCTAAATAAATACCTTAAGCCCCATAGGAAAAGCAATTTGTATCATGGCCTGATGAAGGGTGAGGACACTCTCCAAGAATGTGTTACTCAGAAGTAACCTCACTGAATTCAATAGGACTTGCTCCCAAATAAGGATACATACAATTGCAGCCCAGGGCCAAATGCCACACAGGCTGCAGACACCGGGCAGCCATTAGGCCAGCTGATCCTGCTGGCCAGTTATTACAGCGGCATCCTTATAATTATGGCCGACGCATAAGTCCATGACTTATTTGGGGAGCCTGCAGCTTCACCGAGAGTACATAAAAGCACATTTCCCCATGCTCAGAAGAAGACTTTTTAAAAGCATAGCAGCAAGACAGGCCTGTTCGAAGAAAAACCACATTGCTTATTTTGAATACCTGAAGGCCGGGGGTCTCACCCACTGGCCTAACCCAACTAGGGTGGCTAACTCCAGGTTTGGAAATTGCTGGAGATTTGGGGTGGAGCCTGGGGAGGGCATGGTCTGGGGAGGGGAAGGACCTCAGCAGGGCATAATGCTACAGAGTCTAGCCTGGTGGGAAACTCTCCCAGGAGAGATCAGGGCCCTGTGGGATTTGGTACAATTCCTCAGGGCCTCCAGAACAGAGTTGCTCCACCGGGCCCATGGTTGGGGGCACCGACGGGCTCCTTGCTAGGGCTGCCAAGTGAGGGCGGGTAAATCCCCGCTTCGGAGGCCCGATTTCCGCTGCCGCGGAATCGGGCCCCGGGGGGAACTCCGGCCACTGAAGCGCAGCGTGACCCTGATCGTCGGAGGGAAAACTCTATGGTTATCCCTCCCACGATCGGGGCCACGCCTTCAATGTGAACAACGTCGCACGTCACTTCCGGTGACATGCTGGCGGCGCACGCGCACATCGAGGACCGGCTCCCGGAGCCCGGCGAGGCTCCCCTGCCGGTAAGAAGATTGGACATGGCAACCCTACTCCTTGCTGATAGGCTTTATCTAGTTTTGGCCTCCCCCCTCCTCCCTTCTCTCTCTCCCCCTGCTTCCCCCCTTCTCCCCTTCTATTAGATGCCGGTATACTGCCCCCCACTTGAGTTTTTACGCCACCTTGAATTCTATGGTAGATGTTTTATTTTATTTTATTTGTTAAATTTGTATCCCGCCCTCCCCGCCATGGCAGGCTCAAGACGGCTTACAGAATATATGTGTGTGTGTGTGTGTGTGTGTGTGTACAGGGGTCATTTCCTGTGGGAGCGCACAGGAGCAGAGCTCCAGCAGTAAGGAGCCCAGGGGGCGGGCACATGCAACAAGTCCCACTCCCTGCTCCCGGCAGCCCTCAGTTGGGCCACTAGGAGCAAGAAGCAACCAGGTAAGTTGCAGAGCCCCCCCGGCCCGCATTAAGCTACAAGCTCTCCCTCCTCTGCGAGGACAGATCTGCACGTTCCCCCCCATATCTAGCAATCCAAAACAGTCCAGTGGCACCTTTAAGACCAAGTTTTATTCAGGTACAAGCTCTCCCTCCTCTGTGAGGACAGATCTGCAAGT